TCGTAGGTGCTCTAGAGGTTACTTTTATATAGTATTTGAATTAAATCCGAGACTTTTTCATAATCACACGATAGACTCGGAATAATATATACATATATATACGATATACGTTCAATAATTTTGTGAACATCTTGTACCGAATCGGCTTGCAACAAGAAAACCCGAATGAAATTACTATGTTAGTTGTTTTATCTGGTGTATTAAATCATTAATGTTTTCATATTCGGTTCTTATTTATACGTTACGTGATGCGAGCAGAAAATGAGCATAACGACTTTGCTCAAATACACAACGTATTCAAATTCGAATCCTGCGGGAGCAAGGCTTGAACCCCTCCGTCGCTGAGTTAGCTCTAAAATGTCTTGTTACATCTGGTTCCTAGGGACGGGTTTCTTGTGGAACCGTTCGAGATTGTCGATAATCAACATTTTACTCGATTATGTCGACAAAATTTATTTAAAAATTTTGATTGGAAGATAAAGAAAAAGAAGAGAGAAAGGGACGTGACTCCATATTTTCATTCTAACAAATTTGTTAAAGACAAAAAAAGCAACATTTGTTGGTATACAAATACAATCATAGATAAGTAACGTAACCACCAAAGCCATACTGGCATGCTCCATTGTTTATTTTTTGGTTCTGACCATGGATAATAATAATAATAAAAATAATTATAATTATTTAACTTCTAAAAAATTATTACAACTAAAAAAATCCTCAAAAAAACACAACATGTTTTATATCTACAACACCTTCAATTGAACACTAAGAGGTTGTTTGTTTACCTATTAATATTTTTATTAAAGATAATTTCTGAATTGTTAAGAGGTGAATCTTGTTTGACAAAAAAAAGTATGTTTCTTAATGGTTCTAAAACTCTCTAAATGATTTTATATCCTGGACCTTCCTTAACCTTTCAACGCCTTAATTTAATTGTAAATAATTACCAAACAATTATATTTCATTTTGCACTATATCAATGAGAGCTTTCTTGATCATTCTGACCACTTAATCATTCTGCACCCAAACCATTCAACAATTGTCAAACATCCCCTAAATAATAAAAATAATAGAATTTAAATGATAAACATAAATTCTACACCTTTTTATCTTTCGAATTTTAATGAATTCGGGTCAGTTTATATGTATGTAGACTAATCCTGTAAGATTTTGAAGTTAACAGTCAAACAAACCTCAGTCAGTCTTGAAAGTTCTTTTTCTATTAACCTGAATATCTAATCCGCTATGCGAGCAAACTAATCTCAGGGCGACCACCCGCTTCACAGGTAGCCTGAAGTTTGAACCTCCGTGGCTACAAGAGAATTTTTATTTCTCTTTGGATTCGAACCTGAGACCTCCCACACACTTTTGACCTTTGAAACCCAACTCAAACCAATCGAGCACTATCCTTGTGGTTCAGTCTTGAGAGTTCTTATGACCACTAAGAAGTAAACTCAAAATTCTACCTGTTAAACTACCCTAAAGATTAAACGCAACGATTTGTTATCATATTTTAAGTATTTAGTTAAGATTATAATAATTAGTAAGGGACTGTTTACCAAACGCTTATCCGGGTAGGCGCTTACCAAGTCACATTATCTTATCGGATGAATATGATAAGGATCAAGAATTTTATCCGGTAAGAAGGAGACACGGACCGAAAGTCTTACCCGGTAAATGAGGATGACGAGTCTTACCACGGTAAACACTTACTGGGTAAATTGTTGCATACGATGTCGTTTTGGTGGACTAAAATCTTATTCAGTAAGTAAATAATAGTATTGAATTTTACCGATAAGCACTTATCGAGTAACTGTTTGATAAACGACCTCTAAGTATTTATAGTGTAACATATCAAAAGCAAATCTAAAAAAAGACCAAAATAAATGTTGAGAATATGGGTAGAAAGTGTAAATTTGAAAAAAAAAATATTATAGGGGGTTGGCGGTAATTATCTAGAAGACTAGAAATAATTTTAAGTCCAACCCAGTCACAGCCCAATTTTTGTAATAACTAATTTTTATTTTATTTTATAATTAAATTTTTATTAATTTTTATTACGATAATTATCTTGTGTCACTGTTGCAATTTTTTTAGACATCTCTGCCAAATCCATTTCGTTATTTTTTGGCATCGAAAACACACAAAATATCTTAGAAATTGAGAGAGAGAGAGGGTGATGGTGCATGATGTTTGATTGTAGCCCGTAGTTAAGTCCAACCCGTTTATAGGGTGGGCAATGACAAGTTGTCAAGTCCGAAAAAAAAGTTTGAGTTTACGATATTAAGCCCGTTAGACAAAAAAACAAGTTTATCCCGCCCTGAACACAACCTAGACCCACAAATGATCACATCTAATCAAAGTCCGAGGGAGCATCAAGTTTCCATCTGTTACTAGTTTTGGTTTTTTTTTTAATAATTTGGGAATTAAGCAACTAGGGTTTAACTATAAACACAGGTCCAAGTCATCTACTTTACTGGTTTCAAAATGTGTTGCTTGCGTATAGGATTTTACTGATTGTACCCGTCACGATAACATGTAACCAAAAAAAGTTTTCCAAAACTAAAGTTATTAAAGTCATATTTACCGTTGACCATGAGCCAAGAAATGCTAAACCCATTAACAATTTTGCATATTGAAAGTATAATTCCAAACACCACTTATCAGTTTTGTTCACCAAATAAACTACATGTTTTAAAAAAACTGTACGTTTTGTTGTTTCATTTATTTAAAAAAATAGGCATAAAAGTAATTTTTAGCATTTTCGCACAGGACATTAAAACCCTTAGACCGACCTTGTTGTATATACCAAACATAAAACATCATGATTACAAACAAGTGACAATTATGAACACCACGTATCAATTTTGTATGCCAAATAAACTACAACATTTTTAATTAAAAAATAAGTTTTAAAATTATTTCTCAATTTAAAAAAAAAAAAAACATATAACAACAAGAAACTTTAGTTTCAAATGGATTTGATAAAATCATGGAATTGTTTGGGTTTATATACATAAATGTTACCTTTACTCAAATACTACCAAATACATATAACTAGAACACCATTGGATTCATCATTAAAGCTTCATTTTGGTGTGTTCTTGTTTGAAAATGGGTATTTTTCTATTGGTGAATTTACCTTTTTAATATAATTTAATTATAAATCAATTGTTATATTTATAAAAATATGAAATATATTAAAGAGCAAATTGCATGAAAACGTAACGTGCTCTAACTTGATTCCTATTTCAGGTAACGTGCTTTCAAAACTTTCATTTGGGTACCTAAGATGTAAAGTTTTAAACATTTAAGTACCCGAGTAACCGGTTGAAAACTAATTTTGGATAAAGAAAAACTAATTTTAGATTTAAAAAAATCCACGTCACTAACCACATTAGCAAATAATATTGAGTTGGATACCACATCACTCGCTACATTAGCATGATAACCGATTAATGCTTCAATCGGTTACTCGAGTACTTAAATGTTTAAAACTTTACATCTTAGATACCAAAATGGAAGTTTTGAAAGTACGTTAACCAAAATAGGAATCAAGTTAAGGTACGTTATTTTTTCATGCAATTTGTCCTACATTAAATCATGTAAAAGTTAACCATAGACAATTTTCCAAAAGTCTTGTTTACAACAAATTACAAGTGCAATAATATAATCGTTTAATTTGGTATTTTTGGTTCAAAAATCGATAAACTGTATAACTGATACATGGCGTAACTCATTTATGTTTAATTTGGAATCTGGTCCTAGTGTGCGAATCCATTTTTGGTTTGGTTCAAACTGGTATAATTTAAAACTAGAAAATATATTGTTTCTCGTTTTTTAAACTTGAAATGATGTATGTATTAGGTTTTTATTTTTCAAATTAAAACAAATTCAGCTATTCAAGTATGTATTCAGTTCATGATTTGGTTATGGACCAAAAATATGCTGATTGTTTATTTATAGCTCAATAATAAATTATTCAGTGTGATTGTTGTTGTAACTGTAAGAATTTATGATGTTGTTTCCTTGTAGCTTAACAAGAAATTTATCACAGACCCACAAAAACGTCCGATGTGTTTTTACCCAAATTCCACTTTTTCGAGGCATTTTTTAAGCTTTTCAGTAGATTTTGAGAGTTTTTTTTGGTTAATTTTTATTATGTTTTTTTAATATCTAGAAGCACCCCGCAAAGTTTAGTAGGTGCACATTTCAAATTCCAAAAAGACTTACTTGCAAAAATGGATTGAGTGGGTGCACAAGACCCCACTTAGCCCCTCATAGGTTTGTCCATGATTTCAGATAAATTTTAATAAAAAATTAGTTAATTATTCACTGTCAATTTACAATAAAATTTTACATCATGTTATATTAGACTATACTAGAAGTGTATTCGTACAATGCAGCGAGATACATCTCGATTTTAATATTTTGTTTTTTTTTTGTCCTAGTCAATGTTACAATAGAGTTTCATGTGGTTTTGAGAAAATGATAATGTTTTTATTTTTGAATAAAATATAAATGTAAAGATATATCATAAAAAATTAAAAAAAATATTAATATTGGTACTGAACTAACTATTTAATTTTTTTTTGTGTATTTCTTTAATTCATTTTTTTATTTATGGTTTAATAATATAACTTTTTATAAAGATAATAATTAAGTATTTTGTTAAAACTCGATAATTATCATAATTATATTTTAAATTTTTTATATTTAAAATGAGATGTTTGTACACAGCTAGTTACACGAATTCAAACATGAAGTTTTAGTAGGTTGTACTTACATACAATTTACTTGTAATCTTGAATTTTAAGTAATATGCATCAACAAACAGTACTTCATACATAAAAAATAGTCTGTAAGTGTTTTTGTCAAATCCTTTATAATATAGTATAGATTAACCAGATCACAACTACTCTCTATTAAATTAGTAAACAAACATATTTCATGATCTTGAATATAATTCATCAAAAATTTGTCTTCTTTAAATATTACCAAAATGGAAGATGCTTTTAGATAGTTGAAGGAGAAAACAAGACAAATTAACCCAAAGGAAGAATCTAATTTATGGAACTTTTGTAGGGCATCTATGTCTCCAACAAAAGGGAACACAACAATGAAAATGAGATTGACATTTGGAAGGTATTCCTTCATTGGTGTGTACGATTTCTTTTTACATAACTTTTATTGTATAAATTGTTATTCTGAACTGTTTAAAGTAGTTTTATCTGATTTATTATTTGATGTTTAATTTATTTTCTTGTAAACCCTTTTTTTGTCCAGATGATCAAGTTATCTTACGTGCTTATAACAGATATTTATGCAAGCCTTCCGAGTCAAATGGCGCTCTAGTTGGACCTAGTCGACATGGTATGCGAAAAGCTTGGACTGAGTTTATGTTCTAAATGGCGTGAGACGTCGCGTGACAACGAGCTTCAAGCCTTATGAGTTACGGCAAGGCTATAACGTTTTCTAATGCGGGGTTTAACGCGGTAAATCTATATATATATATATATATATATATATGTGTGTGTGTGTGTGTGTGTGTGTGTTTATGTCGGTGTCTTGAACAATAATTATTAAGCCATATCACCTGTAACGCCATAACGTGCCATGGCGTGCCATAATGAGCTCCACGCCTTATATCCACGCTAAAGGGATTAACATGATGGCCAGGCTGCACCATAGTGCGTTTTTTAGAACATTGGTTTGAGGGTTTGGCCTGGTCCAAGACGCTACACAATCAGGTCTTGCCCTGTAAACCCGTTATTCTGGACCAGTCCAAAAACAATCTTGTCCAAGTATTAGAAGGACATTGAAAATATTTTGACCAAAATGCAATATAAAAACCCATATTAGTTAGTTCAATCGTGGAGAACAACTTGCTCTGATAATTATTGTATTTTGTCTTTAATCTGTTGCAAAATTGAAAAAGTATTAGGAAAAATAATGCAAATTCGCACATATTGCTTTAACAGGTTAACTTTGTATGTGTTGAAGGAAACGATGATGATGATGATGATGATGATGATGATGATGATGATGATGATGATGATGATGAGAGGGGGCTCATCGTGGGACAACGCTTGTCCTGGTTATTGGTGTTGTAAAGTGAGAGGGAAAAGATATTGAGGAATCCATTAATGTAGAAGACCCAAGAAAGCGTGGATTCAGAAGTAGATTGATGGATGAGTCTGTATTTTTAAAATTTGGGGAGTTCTGGTTACCAAAAGATATCAGTATATACATTTTATATAATAAAGACGATGGTTATAGAGATAATAAAATAATATTTAAGGGTTTAAACGAGAATACTTTTGATTTATACAAATATGATAACACTTGTAAGTCTATCATTCTGTTTTAAGTTACGATTTTAGAAGGATTGAAGAAGCAGTTAAATATTAAATAAGTATCTACCCTTTTTTAAGAATATCGAAGAAAAAATTGGGAAAAACTGCAAATCACATGAGGAACAGACGTAGTTGATGATTGTGAACGTGATCATCACTGTTTTTTGATCTATCATATATTATCATAGCAAAATTGCAACAATATCACTTCATAATAAATCTTCGATTTATCAAATCATTATCACATCATCATCAATAACAGATGAATTGACATAAGAAGTCTTTGATAATACTGTCAACATTTAAGGGAAAGATAAATTTAAGATAACATAAAATTGTTGATAAATACTAACTTATTCTCATTTTTATTATGGGTTAAATAATTTAAAGGTCCACAAGTGTTACGCATTTTAGTAAACCAAGGATGTTCTCTTTTAAACTCTGCATATATGTGTATGTATGTAGATATGTAGGTATATATAAGAAGATAATCAAATGAGAACCACAAAAATGTTACAAACTCGTGAGAACTGCTATAAAAATATATTTTTTTACATGAATTTTTTCCATCAAATACTATGATTTTAACTATGTTTCACATATGTTTGTGTATACTAGAAGGGTACTCGTACAATTTAGCGAATACATCTTGATTTTAATATTTCATTTTATTCTTTATCTCAGTCGATGTTATAGTATGGTCTTATGTGATTTTGAAAAAAACGATGATGTTATTATTTTTGAATAAAATATAAACTTGAAAATATCATAAAAATTTGACAAAATTATATCGATATTAATATCAAATTAACTATTTAAAATTCATATTTTTGTGTAATCTTTTAAATTCAATTTTTTTATTTATAATTTAATTTAGGTTCAGTAACGAAGTAATTTATATTTGGTTTAATAATATAATTTTCTTATAAAGATAATAATTAATTATTTTGTTAGAACTCGATAATTATACTAATTATATTTTAGATTTTTTATATTTTAAAATGAGATGTTTATCCTCTATTTGATTATGTTTATCTGAAGTTAGTTACACGAATTCAAACATGGAGCTTTAATAAGTTGTACTTATGTATAATTTATTWGTAATATTGAATTTTAAGTAATATGCATCAGTATACAGTACTTCATGCATAAAAAATGATTTTTAATTTTTTTTTTGTTAAATACTTTATAATATAGTATAGATATATATAGAAAAGAAGTACAAATGTGTATCAAAATTTTATGAAGTTAAAAATGAGGCCATTTAAGATATTATAAATAGAAACGAAATAAATAAGAAATAAAGAAGCAAATGCAAAATACAAGTAAAAGCTATAAAGACAGAGATGGAACACTCATATGGGACCAATACATGATCGTCAAATATCAAACACTGGTTCTTAATCAGTCTCAAAATTCAAAAATTGACCCAAACGATACCTTACGTATGAAAAGGGACTTGAGCGATTCTTTGAATTGTTAAAAGATGAATTTTGTTTGGTAAAAAAAGATTGTCTCTTGATGATTTTAAAACTCTCTGAATGATTTTGTACCATTAACCTGCTTTAACCATTAAGTGTCTTAATTTCATTATAAACAATTACCGAACAATTATATTTCATTTTGTCATATATCATGATAGCCTCTTAATATTCTAACCACTTAATCATTCTCCAACTACCAAACAACCTCTTATTCTACATTGATTTGAAAAAAAAAGTACTTTCATAGTTATATTAAGAGTAAATTTAAAAAACCCCAACAAACTATCTGGTTTTGAACGATTAAGTTTTTAAACTACTTTTTTGAATGAAACTCTTAAACTTTTTAAACTGGTTAAATACATCCTTGTAACCTGTAAAAACAGGTCAATGTGATAAAAATTTAGAAAAAGTTTAAAAAA